GTCACGGAGCACCGCACGGGGGGAACAGCAGCCACCAGCAAGCGATCAGGTGCGGATAGTTCCAAGGAGCAGCGCACGGGAGGGACAGCACCCACAAGCAAGCGACCAGGGGAAGACAGCTTCACGGAGCAGCGCACTTGAGGAACAGCAATCACAAGCGAGCGATCAGAGACGAATAGCTCCTTCGAATATCAACGACGTGCAGGGAGGTCAGCAAAGACAGCGGAGCGATCAGCAACGGACAGTTGGAGAGAGCTTCGGCAAGCGAGATGGTTTTAGAGAGGTGCAAGACCCGGCTGGAAATCTCCGGTCACGACGCCCGCACTCTCCACCAGAAAGCGTCCCAACGAATCAGAGCGTCTCGCCGCATCCGACCAGCACCGTGAAGCACCCGACGCCCACGGCGACGTCTGCCTCGCCGAACCCTGTGGCGCACCACCCCTCGGCCTCGTCGGCCCGCACCAGCATCGCGTCGTCATCGTCCACAACGTCCGTGTCGACGGGTAGCTCCGGTGGCATTGCGGCTCGCAAGGTCGTGACGAAGGAAACAGCGGCCTCCAAGATGCCACCTCCTGGAGAGACAGTGGTGGCCCACACCACGACCGCGACGTCACGAGGCCCTACGAGTGTATCCTCGTCCACCGAGCCTTCCCGGACTGCACCCAACAGGCCCGGCCGCGACGCCCAGCAAGTGACGGAGGCCAGGGCTGTCCCCACCTCGACGACGAACCGTCAGGGCGGTGCAGGCTCCACCAGTGGTTCTAGTGCAGGAAAGGCGTCATCCGGGAACTCCGTGTCGTTCGCCGGCAACCAGGATCACGCCAGTGCAGTGCGCCCGAGGGAGCCTCCACGGCCTCGGTCACCGCACCCTGGCGGAAGAGGTACCACCCCGCCGCCGAGGACTCCGACGCCACCGCCACCCCCTCCCCCGAGGACGCGGACGCCGACGTCACTCGAGGCAGACGCCGGGTCGTCGTCGTCCTCCTCCTGCTCGCACCAGGGTACCCAGAGGCTCACGCCAGACTCTCAGCAGCGGCGGCACTGCGGCGCGTGCTCACCCCGGAAGGGGTCGGGGCCCGGGACGGCGTCGGGGGTGGGCTGCGAGACCTGCAAGCGCGCGGGCGGGCGGGCGCGCAGCAAAGAGGGCCGCTCTGCGGGTCCAGCGCCCGCCATGGACCGCAAGCCTCTCAGCCCACCCCAGACGGCGGTCACCTCCCCGCGCACATCGGCCCGGGCGGAGGTGCAGAAGCAGCGCGCCCACAGCGCGTCGCCGGCGCGGAGGATGACGCCGACGGCGGCTGGCCAGGGCGCGCGCGTCCCCCTTGCGCACCTGGCGGCTAGGAACAGCGGCCAGCCGATCGGCAGGACGCTCAGCTGCCGAGGTCCCCGGACCGCCGTCCACCAGGAATCCACGCCACCGCTGAGCCCCCTGTCGGTGCAGGTGAGGGTAACCAGTGGGCAAAGACGTGGTGGGTGGTCTGCCTGAGACTACGTGTTCTGAACCCGACCTCGCCTGTCCCGACTGCAGCTACAGGGACCGCTGTCGCCGGGCTGGGACCTGGTGGCGCTCGAGATGGAGGTGCAGGAGCTGCGCCGCGAGCTGCAGGAGCGCCGTGCCGCGGAGCTGCGGCTGCGGAGGGAGATCCACAAGCTCAGGGTGAGTAGGAGCGCAACGGCGCTGCCGGCCCGGGAGCGCTGCGAGGCATTGAAGGGTCACCGTTGTTGCAGAGCGTGCTCCAGCAGGCCACAAGCTTCTCCCAGGACGGCGAGGGAGGGGACGTGGCACGCGAGGACGGCGTCAGCGGGGACGCCCGGGAGGGCCTGCTTCTCACGTCCCTGCAGGTGCGTCACGCCATGGCCGGCGGCCGTGCCACCGGTTGCGGGCCGGGGGCGGCGCAGGGGGCGGCACAGGGGGTTGCGCAGGGTGCTGCGCAGGCCACGGCGCAGCAGGGGGTGGCGGCGGCCTCCTCCTCCAAGAAGCAGGGCGTGTCCGGGGAGAGCTCGGACCCCGGAAGCTCGTCCGTGACTCAGGCCACCTTCCCGAAGGACTTCCGTTCGCAGCAGCTCATCAAGGCCGCCATCCTGGACAACGACTTCCTCAAGAACCTCTCGCGCAGCCAAATCCGGGAGCTGGTGGACTGCATGTACCTCCAGAGCGTGACCAGGGGCAGCTACGTCATCCGGGAGGGGGAGGCAGGTGCGTATCGCGATAACGACACGCAATGACGCTCCTCCTGACACACATTACTTCCGCGCGAGGACAGTCGAACCCCCCGCGCGGGACACACCCTCCCTGTGCGTGACTGAGACCCGTCCGTCAGGGTCAGGGGCGGACCCAATTAGGCTCATGGGTGAGCGGTCCCTGAGGGGAGGGGGCGGGAGAGTCAGGTTGAAGGTTAGCAATATGTGCTGTTGAAATGGAAAGGAAGCGCGGGAGGGGTCATCGCGTAGACTACCCCACCCCCACCCCC